CTGCCCTCCTGCGGCACATTCATAGCATTGCATGTTTTTGTTCCCTCAAACTCTCGAATTAAGACACTAATATTTTGTTTGGTTTTTTTGACACAACAGCCACCACAACACATCCTGATCTGACATTAAGATATATAGCATCCCATCTCTCCGCTGCGTCAAACATTTCCCTCAATTCTCTCCTAAAACCCTCCCTTTCCTTCCAGTGGAGATCTGTGCTGTGGCTGGGAATGCAGCTGAGTAGAATTTTTTTTTGTGGAACAAATACTCGACTTTTCCTTCCTAAGGGGTACACCCCGTCCCCTGTCTATTGTTTGTAGGCTGCTAAAGGATACAAAGTCCCTCTGTTAATCAGACTGAGTCGCCTATTAAAAAACACTTTGTTTCCACATAGCTGAAAATCCACAACTTTTCTCTAAATATATTAATCCGGCTGCTATTTGGCTCACAGCCCCAATCAAACATTCTCAGACTGTTTGGTTGATAATCTGGACTATGTGCAAGTGCAGTCCTTTTTTTAAATTCACTGCATAGTTTAAGTCCTGAAGCTTTTTTCCTGAAGAATTTTTTTTCCATAGCAATGCTAATGAAATATCATATCAGTGTGTGTGTGTGTGTGTATGCATTACCCCCCAACACTTACCTCTAGTTAATGAGTACCCTATGGTGGAAATTTGTCTGATCTTTGTTAGAACTTGTCTACCAAAAAGTAACATCCTGACACCACAGCTGGGAAAATGAGTCAGTGAAACTTACAGCTCACTTTTGAAAATCACATGATTTCATTGAGATATCACAATTATAGTTCATTTTGTTACTTCACAAAGAAGTAAAGAAACACATATTGAGTGTTTCAATCTGGAAAAAATAAACTGAAATCAGGCAAAAAGAGGCAAAATGGTTCAAGTTCAACACAACACCACAAAACCAGAGACTGAATAGGTTTCCCAGTAATGTGGTGGTAAGTGCAAAAACACAACCCCTTAAACTGTACTACAACAGAACAACAAAAAACAGCCTTCAACTAACTGATGATTTCTAAATGATGTCAGTCTGTCTTTTTTGGGGTTCAGTTTTAAAAAATATGTATCCTACACAAAGCTTACATACATGAGAAAGTCATTTGCATCTGGATTCACAGCATACAAAGCCAGCTGGTTCAGGATTTATAACGTCTGGTGAGTTATTAGCTATAAGACAAACATTCCAGAGCTTATCTGTGTTTGCTTCACCGGTATCAATCAAGCTATGCCACCTTTTCTCACAGAACAACACAATCCCAATCTATCACATCTTTTGTAACAGAACTGGTAGCTTTTCAGCTCAGCAGAGCTGATTTCAAGCAGCTCAAAGACAGAGTTAAGATAACACTCACTGTAAAGTCACTCAAGAGGAAAAAAAAAAATTATTTTATTAAATTTAACAGTGAAGAGTTTGGTTTGATGGTCTGTGTTTCTACAACTGTTTAAACAGCAAGATGAAGTGAATAACCCTGAAAGTCTACCTGGAAAATATCTGCTGAGCTATTTGATGATATGAAGAACCCAATCCAGAGATTCACCTAAGAAAAAGGTCTAGCAACAATTTACAAAATTTCATTTTAACATGATAACATAACGCTGCTTCAGCAATAACGCTCCAGATTTGTCAGCTGTTAATCTCCTATTCCACCGCATCCCAGGTGTAGTCTTTTGGATTGAGAGATGGTGACTCTGGAGGCTATTTGTGTACAATATACTCACTGCAATGTTCAAGAATCAGCTGAGATGAACAGAGCTTTGTAACATGGTGTGTTATTCTGCTAGAAGCAGCCATTATAAGATAGGTACACTGTGCTAATAAAGGGATGGACATGGTGAGTACTCAGGTAACAGGTACGTTGTGGCATTTAAACAATGCTTAGTTGGTGCTGAAGGAACAGAAGTGTGCCAAGAAAATTTTCTCTGCATCGTTACACCACCAGCAGCCTGAACCGTTTATACCAGGAAGGATGGATCTGTGCTTTCTTTTTGTTTGCACTAAATTCTGACCCCCATCAGACCAGCCTCAGCTTCCTGTTCTTAGCTTACAGGACCAGCAGCTGGCGTGTAGCTCATCTGCTTTGATGAATATGCTCGTCTACATAGCTTGGTTGTAACAAGCATGAGTTACTGTTGCCTTCATATCAGCTCTGGCCATTCTCGTCTGACCTTTGACATCAACAAGGAATTTCTATCCAGAGATGTGCCGCTCACTGGATATTTTCTTTTTTTCCAGACCATTCTCTATAAACTCAAGACATGGTTGTGGGGGGAAATCCCAGAATATCAACAGTTAATGAAACAGTCAGACCAGTCCGTCTGGAACCAAAAACCAGTCAGTTAAATCACCTCTCTCCCACATTCTGATGCTCGGTTTGAACCTCAGGTCGTCGTCTTGACCATGTCTACATGCCTAAATGAATTGAGCTGCAGCCATGTGATTGATTGAGTAGGTACTCATATTAACAAGCAGTGAAAGTGTGGTAGGTGAGTGTGTGAAGTCAATTTAATGTTGTAATGGCAAACATACCACTGTGCAGTCAAACGGCTCTCAACTTTAAGGCAATCAATTTAAGTTTTTAAGGAAAAGGGTGGAGTGCCCACTCCAGGTCGGGGATGAGTTCCTGCCCCAAGTGGAGGAGTTCAAGTATCTCGGGGTCTTGTTCGCGAGTGATGGGAGAAGGGAGCCGGAGATCGACAGACGGATTGGGGCTGCAGCCGCAGTAATGCAGAAGCTGCACCGGGCCGTCGTGGTGAAGAGAGAGCTGAGTGTAAAAGCGAAGCTCTCAATTTACCGGTTGATCTACGTCCATACCCTCACCTATGGCCACGAGCTGTGGGTAGTGACCGAAAGAACGAGATAACAAGAGATAACGCGAATACAAGCGGCGGAAATGAGCTTCCTCCGAAGAGTGGCTGGCCTCTCCCTTAGAGATAGGGTGAGAGGTTCAGCCATCCGGGAGGGGCTCAGAGTAGAGCCGCTGCTCCTCCACATCGAAAGGAGACAGCTGAGGTGGTTTGGGCATCTGACAAGGATGCCTCCTGGGTGAGGTGTTCCAGGCATGTCCCACCGGGAGAAGGTCCCGGGGCAGACCCAGGACACGCTGGAGAGATTATATCTCTCGGCTGGCCTGGGAACGCCTTGGTGTTCCCCCAGATAAGCTAGAGGACTTTATTCTCAAATGGCCACTAATGTTGTCAGAATTATCAAAGTTATTAACTGTCATGGCTGCAATCATTTGAATCACAATAATTTCCTCCACATTTAGGTTTTTAGGATCCACGTCCACGGCAAACAATCCTGGAAACCATGCTTTTGCTCATATTCTTCAAATTGCAGACTCTTGATATCAGCCTATGCAGTAAAAGACAAGTACTAAAACTTTTAGTCTTCACTTCTTTCACACACCCAACCCTGCTGACTTTTCTGTTTGCATTTGCCCTGCTGCAGGTTGATACTGCTCACCGATAAAACAAGATGATTCAAACCCTGGCTCTATTGTGAAATAAACATAAATAAGATGATCTCTGACAAGCTGCACGCCTCTCTGTCTCATTTGAACACACACGTATGCACACACAGAGCAAACCCAGTATGATGAACTCTCAGTATGATGGTGCAGTGGTTAGACAACACTTCAAGTCGTCCCAACCTGTCTCAGCACATATATAAGTTATGGCCTTGTCAGAAGAATCAGAATCAGAGTGTGGGAATGCTGAACTGGAGTCAAACTGGGCTCCAATCCTGTCTGTGCTATCTGGATGAGTAAGCCTCATGACATGAAGCAGCTGAGGTTAAAAGGTGATATGATGCCTACACTCCCTTTTTTTCACTGAGACTAGCCAGTCGAAACGTTACTCACAGACTCACATTATTCAATTATTCAACTGCAGGAGAACATATTTGAGCTCTCACCTCTAAAAATGCCAATCAGTAGTTTCTGCCAGCTCGTAAAAAAAGAGGTGTGGACGTCAGCGTGAAAAACAAAAACACAGAAGAGCTCTGAAGAGTCAGAAAAGACGAGAAGATCTGCTGATGAGAACGGATTCACACGACACACCAAAAAGGGAGTTTATAAAGTGGACAGCATTTTAAAAGAGCAATCAAGCTTTCAATTCAATTCAGATTTATTTATATATATAGCGCCATATCACAACAATTGTTGCCTCAAGGCGTTTTATATTGTAAGGTAAAGACCAACAATCACACAAAGAAAACAGAGAAACCCCAACAATCATATGAACCTATATGAGCAAGCGCTTTGATGACAGTGGGAAGATAAAACTCCCCTTTAACAGGAAGAAAGCTCTGACAGAACCAGGCTCAGGGAGGGGCGACCATTGATTTGCCACAAATAGTTGGGGTTAGGGGAGGAAGACAGGACAAAGACAGGCTGTGGAAGAGAGCCAGAGATAACTAGTAATTATAGTAATCATTACTAGATAATTAGTAATTATAATGTTTTTTTGTTTTTAATGAAGCTGATAATTCTTTTAATGAGTGCTTTGAATTCATATGAAACTATAATAAAAACATATGTACGGCTTAATGTTGTTGTTGTTTGCACCTGAACTTCATGGGTCAGAATTTAATCACCACAAATGTTTTAGAAGAAATGTTTCAGTTAGTTCAAAGGCCTAGTCTGAAGTCTAGCACTAGAAAGTGAACATGGGGAACATTTTTGTTTCTTCTTCTTCCTTCAGCTATTATTATAAAGACATCTGAGCAAGTTCTTTTCACTCTGATGAATAACACACATTGTTAACTTTGAGATAAGATTTGTCTATTTTACTGCTGAATACTGTCTCCAACTATGAATTTTATTTAAACTTCTAAAGGACTCAGTACTTTGTTTCTATAACCCAAACAACCCATATTAGAACACATCCATCTGGGAAGACAAGAAAACCCTGAGGCTACATTTAACTTTCTATGATGTTTTGTAGTTGTTATCACGCATGTCTAGACAATTTACCCACCTATGTATTTGATGTCAAAGCCCTCGGGAGGTTGCAAGGTCCGTCTCGTCCATCCGTTCCTGAGGACCTGAAGGTGCACCTCTTTCCCTTGGATCAGCAGCACATGCTCATCTATCCAGCCCAGGAAGAAGATCTCTGTCAGCGCGTGTGTCAGCGCCTTGTTCCAGAAATGCTGCATGTTGACGGCTTTGAAATTAGCGAAGACCTCATAGCCAGAGTGATGCTTTAAGTTTACTGAGAGCAAGGCCGGTGGCGACGGTGAGTCCTCTCCATCTACTCTGCAAAGGCGCGACAGCACCAGCGCCAGGGAGTGCGGAGCGATCTGGAGGAACTTGTCCATAGTCGCTCCGGTCAAAATTTGGGACTCAAACGGAAACTACAGTCTGTTCCCTGCACGGCATGGTTCGGACAGTGCAGGTCTCCATCGCGGTTCTATCTCCAAACTGAGAGTTTTTGTTTGTTTGGGCATTTTCAAGAAACAGATCCCTCTGAAAGCTCCAGACTTCCCAGAAAAAAGAGTTTTAAATGTTTCAAACACAGGTGCTCCATGTAAAACCAGGGAAATCAGCAACCTGATACCCGTCCCCTGCAGCCACCTCTCCCAAACTGTCAAAGACGTTTAGGTCCTACTTTCAGCGACAAAAAAGGCGAGCACTTGTGATGCGTTCAAGCACTCCCTGTAAACTACCACATTTCACTTTAGACGGTCAAAATCCACGTTTTTGATAGAAATCCGTATCTGGTCTAATCCTTACTTAACCGTCTAAGACAATTTAATGTCATCAGTGTCTTAAAACACCAAAGGAGCACTCTAATGTGAGAAAAATTCAAGCTTTCGCGATGCTTGAATGGAAAGCAAATGTGTAACAGCCTGCTTTACACAACCAAAGTGATCGTAGACAGCTACAATGAAAAATGAAAACTAGCCAATACTTAAAGTAATAATAACAAAAAGTAATGATTTCGGTATTCGCCACATTTGTAAACACAAGAATCAAGTTCAGTTTCTTTCACTTCTATTTTAAATACCCAGATATAACTAGTAAAAACTAAAACTAGTAATAAAGTTTTTAAACACACACACACACACACACACAGGAGCCTAAATGAAAGTTAATTTAATTTAAAAAAAAATCTAATTACATTCAAAAATAAAAAAGGATATTGCAAAGGTCATTTTGAATTTGATGGCAGCAAGATTTCACCCCAAAAAAGTAGGACACAGCCATGTTTACCACTGTGTATCATCACCTCTTCTTCTAAAAACAGTCAAGTAAACGTTTGGAAACTGAACAGGACAGCTGCTCAATATCATCGTGTTCTCTTATAAAATAGGATTCTGGTTACTGAACAGTCCTGGGTCTTAGTTGTTGTATTTTCCCTTTCATGCTGTGTTTTGAGTTGGTGTAAGACCTGAACTACAGTCAGGCCAGTTCCACACCTGGACTCTTGTACTGATAATGTTATGTGTTGTAATAGCTGCAATGTGAGGTTTAGCATTGCTGAAATGTTGTCCTGATGAAAAAGATTATATCTGGATGAGACCACGTGATTCTCCAAAAACTGCATATACCTTTTAGCACTGATGGTATCTTGGAGTAAGCAGCCAATTTAATAGGTACTAACACAACCCTATAGTATAAGACATGCAGGCCTTTGAATTAATAACAAGTTGAACTATGGTCTCTCTCCTCTTTACTCTGAAGGATTCGGCATCCATGTTTTCCAAAAATAATTTCAGAATTTGATTCATCTGTCCACAGAACAGTTTCCTGATTGCATCACTGCATTTCAAATGAGCAGAGATGATGGTAGTGTTTCTGGATTGTCTTCCTGTTTGCATCATAGAGCTTTAACCTGCAGATGGCACAATGAACTGTGTTCACAGACAGTAGTCTCTGGATGTGTTCCTGAGCCCATGCAGTGTTTTTGATGACAGAATCACACCTGTTTTTAATGTAGTGCCACCTGGGGGCCTGAAGATCACCACAAGATCACACTGAATTTTTGTATATTGTCCCTTGCACACAGACATTTGTCCACATACCTGGAATTCTGTAATGAAATTATGTATGGTAGAAAAATCGTTGCAATTTTATGTTGTTAAACGTCACTCTGAAATTGTTTCACAATCTGTAGATGCTCAATTTTCAGCTCATCGCTACTTCTGAGAAACTCTGCCTCTCTAAGATGCTCTTTTTCCACCCAGTCATGTTACTTGGCTACTGCCAAATTAAAAAATTATAAATGAGACAATATTTGTCTAAAGTTATATTTTCTCAGTGTAAACGTTTGATTTATTTTCTATGTTCTATTGTGAAAATAAATATGTGTTTAACAGATTTGCAACTCATTACTTTCTGTTGATATTTACAATTTACACATGGTTTAATTTTTTATAACTATACAGAACACACATAGACTTTCACATAAAACATTAAAAAACAGATAAAACACACAACACAATATGTAAAACATAAATGGTCATCAGTGCCGTTTATCACTGCCACAGAAAACGTAGTGTGCACCGGACTGAAACAATAATGATTACAGTTAGACTCCAGATATATATCTGTCTTTATGTTAACAAAGTGGACCACTGCAGAGACGAGTTTTCTCTATATAGTGTTACAAATGCCTTATTATTATGCAATACAACAGTACCATAAAATAAACTATCAAAATGTACCATATGTCATGCACTTGCTGAACATTAAGCTATTAGGTAGCCAGGTCTATAAGTTTTTGGACAAAGCAAGTCTTGCACAGGTTTGCCTGTGTGAATTTTAAACCAAACAATTAAGGTGTGACTGAAGGGCAGATTTAAATGAAGATGTTTAACAAAAAAATCTGAAGTAACTGCTTGGGAATTTTTATAGACACAAATTGGACAGTTGACTGTCAAGTAGATTTATATTTGTTTCATGTTTCCTTGTGATTTCTTTACAAACCAAGCAGATAAAAAATGTGGATATGATTCGAAGTGTTGAATTTGTGTTTGGTAGCTCAATATGAAATCCAAAGAGATGCTGATGCAACTGGAGGAGGACATCATTAGGCTGAAAAACAAAATAAAACAATCAGAGAGACTGCAAAAGCTCCAGGAGTGGCCAAATAAACAATCGGGTACATTCTTAAAAAGAAGGAATGCACCGGCCTGCTCAGCAACACCGAAAGGCCTGAAAGACCACAGAAGACAATTAAAGTGGAGGAGTGCTGAATTCTTTCCTTAGTTAAAAAAAAATTCACCACAAGACAACACTTGTAAGGAGTTGAGGCATATGATTGTAAAACTCAACAAATTAAGAGGGTTTACAACAACCACTGGTGACAATTATCACCAGGAAGGCCAGATGTCTGAAAATATCTAAAAGAGGCTTTGCAGTTCTGGGTGGAAATAAATCTATGGCCAGATGAAACCAAGATGAACGTTTAACAGAATGACTGGAAGAGAAAAGTATGGAGAAATAAAGGAACACTCGTGTTTATTAATGACCTGACTGCTGATAGACGGGATCCTCCAGGACATAATGCCCTGATGTTGTCAGGCATGGATAGAACCAGGTGGGGGCGAAACTACTGAGTACTATCTTGAATTACTGCAAGGATTTACATCAAAAATGATGAGGCTGCCTCAAATCTTTTTCATTTTTATTTTTGGTTTGCCTGAGAATTCAGCCTATTCCTAACACATTACACTGTCCATATCAGTATAGGTATCCAGCACGATTTTTTCCCCATTGAGATCTGAAGTTTTTAATGTGTTCCTTTAATTTTCTTTGAGTAGTGTTTTCCCAATTCCTGACTTTTTTTTTGGCACCTGTCACATTTTTCAGAGCAAACAAATTTTAATATTATAGGAAAATAACATGCAAAACAAGAAAATGTAGTTTTTAAATGATGATTTCATTTATTAAAGGAGAAAAGCTATCCAAACCTACCTGACCCTTTCTAAAAACGTGATTGCCCTGTAACCTTAATAACTGTTTGTGCTACCTTTGGTAGCAAGAACTGCAATCAGCTATTTGCAATAACTGACAGCGAGTCTTTCACACCACTGTGGAGGAATTTTGGCCGAATCTTCTTTGCAGAATTGTTCCAATTCATCCAAATTGGGGGGGTTATGAGCAGTACTGGCCTTTTATAAAGTCGCGCAAAAGAATTTCAAACAGATGCCAGTACAGGTTTTGGAGTGGGAACACTTTGAGGAGTTTTGGTTTTTGTTTGTTTGTTTTCTGGAGCCCTTTGTCCTTAAGTAGCAAAGCAGCTCCAGACCATCACACTATCACCATGTTTGACTGTGGGTGGTATTATTTTTATGAAATGCTGTGTTAGTTTCACATTAGATGTAGCGGGACTCAAGCCTCCCAAAAAAGTACAGAAAAAAGTAGTCCACAGAATATTTCCCCAAATGTCTTGGGAATCATCAAGGTGTTTTTCTGGTAAATGGTGATCTATCACATGGATGCCATTTTTGTTTATTCTCTTTCTTATTGTTGAATCAGGAACTCTGACCTGAACTGACGTGAGGCCGGCAGTTCTTTAGATGTTCTGGTTCTTTTGTGACCTGAAGAGTTGTTGATGCGCTCTTGGAGTGATTTTGGTCCTGGGAAGGCTCGCCACTGTTCCAAGTTTTCTCCATTTGTGGAAAATGATCTCACCGTGGTTTAGTGGAAGCTGAAAGTCTTAAATGGCTATGTTGGGGGAGGGAAATTACTTTTTATATCATACAACACAGTGAATCTAATCACTGCAGCTAGAAATGATTACTTTTTGGTTCAGTTATGCCATATTTATTTATACTATTGGTTTCAGGTGTCAAGGTTAAGATAAAGCATTTTAATCACTGTCGATTGTAAATGTATAATTCACTTGTTTGTGGGAGCAGTTTCAGTAAAGTGCATTTGTGCTCAAGACAGTTTTGTCTGGCCCCGGGTCTCAAGTTCCGGTGGTTCAGTTTTTCTCACCTACAGGCAAATCCGGAGAAATCCTGCATATTTAAACTCAAGGCATCGTAGAAGCGGATCTTTTACTGTTGTTTCAGGTTAGCTCTTGTTATGATATTCTGAAAAAACTGGAACGAGTTTGCCAAGAATGTGTCACAAAATGGGTTTGGTAATCTTTGGTGCTATTAATATTCTTGCAACAGATGAGCCAAAACTAAACAATGAAACCAATTCCACCGCACAGAATACAAAGTGGTCTTTATTTTGCGTGAAAGACAGTACATCAACCTTACATCACAGCTGCTTACAAAATCATGATTTCACAACAAAGCCAAATTGAGAAGTGCGTGTCAAACATGCAACGATGAATTATTTTAACAACGTAAGTGACACATACAGCTGGCTTGCTGTACATAAACAATTGCATTCTCATGATTTGTCACATGTAAACCCATGATCAATGTGCAATCAAACTGTGCTTCATCTCTTATGAATTAGTTGATATTCATGGTGACATGAGTTTTGCAGAAGAACTTTTACTCAGTTTGCTTGTGGTTATTAGGAAAATTGCATCACTGAAGTACAAAATGTCTTTAGTAAATTTGCATTTCATTTGTTAATTATTATTTTAAAAAAAGCCACCATGAAT